TGGTATAGGAGCGCCCCTGAGTCAGAGCGTCACGTGACCGCCCGGCGGCTCGGCCGTGCGGTGGTGGGGGTCGCGCGCTGGAATCGGCCCGAAATGTGCAAATCCTTGCGACTACTGGTCTAAGTTGTAGCTTCCTCTCGAGAGGTATAGTATCCGTGGACGCAACTATTCGGCTTAATGCGTCTACATGTGTCATTTTTTGGCCGCTCCTCTGTTGGATTGAAAACGTATAATTTTGTAATCACAAGATCCAGCGAGCTACCCGTGGATTGATATTAGCTTTATTCATGGCGAGCATTAATGAGTTACAATCCGTAACGACTTTAAAGGGTATTCCGGCCAAATAAATGTGGAACCGTTCTGTGGCCTTTATGATAGCCAACATTTCCAACTCGAAAGAATAGTATCTAGCTTCGGCTTCGTTAGTGGATTGACTGTAATAAGCCACAGGGGCTAATGCGCCCTCCGTGCGTGGAGGGCCTTGTCGTGGCACGGGGGCTCACCCGGGGCTCTCTCTGAGAGTCCCGGGTGCCAACACTCCATAGTACGGAGTCCCTCGCTAAATAGAGGGACTCTGTACGCTAGGGTCCGGCGTCCCAAGGGCCTCCCGCACTCCTCGGAGTGTGGAAGGCCTAGAGGAACCATCCTTTGCAGGATGGGGAATCACTACGCCGGTAGGAGAAGGTAACTCTGACTTCAAATCCCGGTGACTCGGCACCGTTAGAGGGGGGACTGCTCCCTTCCGAGAGTGGAGTGGTAGACGTCCACCACGGACCCCGGGCCCGCGTGGGGCCCTCCCCTTCCCCCTTGAGGGATGGGGTGGTTCCCTCGCGGTACCGGGGGCTGGAGCGACGACGCAGTATCATAACTGCAGGCGGGCTCTGTCCTAGGACATTGAGCCCAAGCCACCGAGGGAAGCGAATGCCTGGTGGGGTACCAACCCCATTGCACCCAGGCATTCACTACCAGGTATGCTCCAGTGGGCGATCGTTCTTCATGAACTATCGCCCATTGCACACTGGGCGTCACTGGTAGAGACGCGGCCCAAGGGTAGCACCCCGCGCCGTCATGGGGCGGGCGGGGGGCTGTCTGAAGGCTGCGGGGGAGTGCACGGGACCGCTCGGTTCTACCCTGGCGAGGACCGTGTACTCTCGGAGAGGACGGAGTGGGCG